TAAGTAACAGCGTGTGTTTAGGAAGATGCTGTCGAGGGCAGGCTAAGGAGACGGCAGCTTCGCTGGCAGGACTCTGAGGAGGTGGAGAGGGGTGGTCAGATTCGGGAGAGCTCTTCCGTTTCCCAGCTCGCTGACAGATTCCGTTTGAATGGCACCCAGAAATCTGACCTGAGCGGTTTCAGGTAATTAATTCATGCCATTCGTTTGAGGGGTTTTCATCAGCCAGCAAGGCCACGGTGTTCGAGAGTGTAATCATTTTATAATATGAACGCGTCGTCCGTCCTATTTTTAAATCTCATCAGGAAGTCCTTTGCAGTTTTGTTGTTGTTCAGAGCATAATTAATTAGAGCCTGCCTTTTCTTCCCCAGGGCTTTGTGATTGAGCTGCTCCTAACACTGGAAGCTGCCGTTGACACTCTGGCCGAGACCATGAAGCATTACGACCTTCTTTCCGCCCTTTCTCAGTAAGAACTGGAGCTGTGCCGTGTACAGAGCCCGGTAGCTAACGTCACGCCAGCTGGCGTCACCCGGCCGGAGGCAGTGCCCCGGAAACCAGATGGGTTACCAGTGGGTAAACGGGCCTCAGCGTTCCTGAGCAGATCCACCAGGTTGTCCCCCCCACCCCCGAGTCCTGCCAGAGGCCTTTCTGCCCTGTCACTTGCGACTCACATATTGTCCCTGGAACAGCCTGTCCTCTACCTCAGAAACCCCCAGATCGACTCATCCTGCAAGTCCCACCTCAGATGTCACCCCCTCACTAAGCCTTCCAGCCCCCTCCCTCGGTAGTGGGTTCTCACTGCTAGCTTCGCGTTTTAGTAACAGCGATTGAGAGGCTGTACTTGTATCTATCTGCCTGTCTGTCCCACCCCAACCCTGGACTGTGTAATATTCTGAGCCTTCTGCATACTGCTGGCACCCAGAGAAAGCAGAGGCAACTTAAAACAAAACAAAACAAACAACAACAACAACCAAAAAAAAACCAGTGATAATTGGATGTGAAGGAGAATAAGAAATCAAAAATAAAATTGTGTGTTCGGCTGTTCTGGAAAGAATGTGCCGTTCACAGAAATAGTTGCATGTGAGCCGTCAGGTGGAGGCTGAGATGAGGTCTGCTGTGGCGGTAACGGTACTGAGTCCCAGAGCTGAGAGTCAGCGGGATTACTTGCAGGGTTTTCTCGGCGAGTCAGACTCTTCCCCACTCCGGGAAACAGCCATGGGACTCAAGGGCCTGCTGTAGGTTTTGTTCGGTATGGAGGAGGAACTGAAATGCCATTCAACGAAGGCGGCCATACGGCAAAATGATTTGTTTCCGGTAACAGTTACTATCAGTGCGTTTCAGTGTTTTGGAAAGTAAACTAAGACAGCCACAGAAGGGATGTATATGCGTTCATCTTTTCTTTCTTTCTTTCTTTCTTTACAAAAGAACCTCATACCCCGATCCGATCCTGGGAAACAAGTATGCAGCTAACAGGAAAAGCACTGGACAGCTCAGTCTAAGCACCAGCCCCCTCACCAGCAGCAGCTATCTGGGGTACCACAGCAACGCCAGAAGTAACTCTCTGAGGCTCAGTCTGATGGGTGACCGCAGGGGCGACCGCCGGCGGAGCAACACACTGGATCTGACGGATGGACGGATAAACCACGGCGGGAGTCTGGCGAGGACTCGAAGCCTCTCCTCTCTCAGGGAGAAGGGGATGTACGACGTGCAGTCCACTACTGAGCCCACCAGCCTGATGGCCACCATTTTTTGGATAGCAGCGTCTTTATTAGAATCGGATTATGAATATGAATACCTCCTGGCTCTCAGGCTTCTCAACAAACTGCTTACCCACCTGCCTCTGGATAAATCAGAGAGTCGAGAGAAGATCGAAAACGTCCAGAGCAAACTCAAGTGGAACAACTTCCCCGGCCTTCAGCAGCTCTTCCTCAAGGGCTTCACGTCGGCGTCTACGCAGGACATGACGGTGCACCTCCTCAGCAGGCTGGTCTCCGTCTCCAGACACGCCCTCGTGGACCCTTCCCGGCTGTCAGGTGATGTCCCGTGCCCGGCCCGGCCCTGCATGCTCATGTGCTGACGTGGAAACTACTGATTGGTTTTGAAATCTACTAATTTCTGCTTTTCTGCAGTTACTGTTTTTATATGTTAGAGAGTTTAAGTGATTTCATAAAAGCCAAAAAGAGGAATTTAGAAGATCAAGTATCCCAGGAAATGAAAAAAGAAAAAAAAAAATGGTTTCTGGGAACCATTTTTAAAATAACTTTGAAAATAATGTGCAATAAAATTAGTTATTGTTTGCTTTTTTTTTTTCGATAGGCTTTCCTCTTAACATCCTTTGCTTATTGCCTCACTTAATCCAACATTTTGACAGCCCAACTCAGTTTTGCAAAGAAACAGCTAGTCGAATAGCAAAGGTAAGCCAACGTTACGCTGAAAGATCGCCTCTAGGGAATTGCTCTGTGTACTGTCCTAAGGGGGGGCTTCTTACACTCCTTACTGCCACTCCCTGTTTGACATTTGCCCTGAACTGTATGTTTATGCATAGAAGCGACTTACGTAGTGGTGCTATTCACGACAGTGATTAGAATTATTAGATGACCTTCTGAGTCTTCTGCTCCTCGTCCCCCCTCTATCCGCTGCCTCACTTTCTCACTCACTCGTTCATTACCAAGTATTTCCTGGGCACCGGGTCACCAGTGGCATACTTACCTCCGTGGATCTTAGAATGCAGAATGCTGTCACCGTAAGGTCTGGTGAGTGACCTAGGGACAGGAGGGCAGCACAGTATTGTAGGAGGCAGAAGTCTTCCTCCAGGAAGTCACATCTAAGCCGACAGGAGAGGCTGGGAACAAGACCTCCGGAAGACACTGGGTGGGGGCGGAAAGAGGGTGGGGGGCGTCACGGAGGCCGGAGGAGTGACATGCGCAAAGGCTCCGAGGAAGGAGAGGGCACCGTGTTTTATATTTTATATTTGGGAGTTCTGGAAGTTCTTTCTTTATTTGCCTTTTTCTTCCTTTAAGACATTTTGCCTTCATTTTCTCTCTCTTGCTTCATTCATTTTTCTTCCTTATTTGTCTTTTTTCTTCCCATCCTACAGTTGTAACAACAGTAATTATTTATTTATTTATTTGTTTATTTATCTTAGAGTTTTGCCATAGGGCGCATGTGCTCCCTGGAGCACGACAGAAACAGAGAGGAGAAAAGTGAGAAATCACCTCCCGGGGAAATGGCCACACCAGTCCCTTCTCCGTTCTTCCCTCAGGCTTTGGGCACACACACATGCCCAGTATGATTTTCAAGCCGGGCCTGGGCCTCAAGCAGTGGTGGTCCCTGTGGGAGTCCAGCACCTTCACCATACTCCCTGCTGACTCCTAATGTATGTATTTTTAAATCAAGTGTTAACACGCATTCAAAAGTATTATAGCTGCTAGTCTTAATTTTAGAAGACTATGATTAGGATATTTTATGTTTATAGTAATTCTCTCTCTTAAGAACAGTATTAATCTCTGAGATAGCTTGCCCTGTGCTTAAATCCAATTCTTAGGTAGTAGTTTTTGGTGAATCACTGACCTTGGGGAAAAGACCCAAAAGGTGACAGTTACAGAAAGTGACAAGTAACTTAGGGAAGCCAGGTCAGAGGGTGACTAGCAGCGGAAGCCAGGGAACCTAGCTGAAGGGCTGGGAGAAGACAAGTTTATTGCAGAAGGGAACAGGCACATAAAACCTCAGGAAGGGCTTTTCAGACAGGCAGTTGTGCTAAATGCAGGATTCGGTTCACACTGTCACACAGTGAAGGGCAAGAGCTCTGTCCCACAGTGAAGGAAAAGAGCCAGCACACAGAGCCGCTCGGGACACCCGCCTTGCGGCCCTGGTCTGTCCCTGGTGTGAGCACAGACAGGGCACTGCCAGCTACTCACGTTAGCAGCAAGAGAGGAACGACTTCTCATTATCTCAGTAGATAACGTTTAATAAATGTAAGAAATTTCCACAAAACAGGCTGTCTGCCTATCCCCAATTAGAGTAATTAGAGTAAATTAGATAGTCTTAACAATCATTTTAAAAGCATGTATCTTAAAAGAGCCATTATTATAGTTAATGGAAACATATCTTAGTTTCCTGAGTAAAAATAGTAGTGGTAGGAAAGATACCACAAATTATCTTCTGTTTTTGGTTTTACTGAATAACTAACCAAACAGAATATTAACAGAGGGTGAAAGCTGTCATTACTAGAAATAAAATACTGCCTTTGAAAAATGATTATTCGCCTAAAAGTAACCAACTACACATGTATTTGTATTAAGTCTGGAATGATACCTAATACAAAATTGATTAAAATTACTTTTAATTTAAGGATTGATTTTTTTTTTTTTTTTTTTTTTTTAGGGTTTTTGCCATAGGGTACATGCACTCAGCTGGAGAGGAGAGAACAGACAGGGACAGTGAGAGGGGAAGTGAGAAGTCACAGGGAGGACGGCTACTCCACAATCCTTCTCCTCCATTGTCCTCTCGGGATTTTTGGACATGCATGTGCATGCACACCACCCAGCATGTTTTTCAAGCTGCTGGGCCCAGGTCTCGAACCATGTAGTTGTCCTTAAGGAATACAGCACCAAAACCACCATACCTCCTGCTAGCCCCATTTTAATTTTTTTAAGTTTTTATCTTAGGGCACCTGTGCTTATCGGGGAGAGACAGAGAATGTGAGAAATCACCCCCCAGAGCGACGGCTCCTCCATAACCCCATCTCCTTCATTCTTCTCTTGGGATCTTGGGCACGCACTCACACACGCCCGGCCTGATTTTCAAGCCACCCGGTCTGGGACTCAAACTGCAGTCAGCCATGTTCTTGTCCAGTGACATAATCACTGTACCATCTGCCGCCCCTCCACTTTAGTATTCTAATGAGACATTATTTGTAAAATATTGTGATCAAGGATCCCTGTTTTTTTCCTACATGAAGGGGAAAGAAGAAAATGTTAAGGGGAAAAATATGTATTGGTTTGCAATTTCAAGAAAATAAAGCACATAGGGAGGTGGCCGTGCTGAGTGGCAGCTGACGGTGTGGACAGCCTGCTGAGGGTGTGGACAGCCTGCTGAGGGCCTGGCTGGCTCAGCAGGGCCGGCCTGTCCCAGACCTCACAGCCCTGAGCATCCCGCTGTCCACGTCGCCGCACCGCAAGGTGCGGGAAGGGCC